AAAAAAAAAAAAAAAAGAAAAAGAAAAACATCAGACTACAGGCCTGGTGCAGTAGCTCGCGCCTGTAAATCCAACAGTTTGGGAGGCTGAGGTGGGAGAACAGGTTGAGCCCAGGAGTAAAAGACCAGCCTGGGCAACATAGGGAGACCTCGTTTCTACAAAAAAATTTAAAAATTAGCCAGGCATGGTAGCGCATGCCTGTGGTCTCAGCTGCTCAGGAGGCTGAGGCAGGAGGATTGCTTGAGCCTAGGAGATCAAAGCTGTAGTGAGCTGTGATGGTGCCACTATACTCTAGCCAGCCTGGGTGGCAAGAATGAGACCCTATCTCAAAAAACCCCACATCAGACTACTACATTGGCAGTAATATCTTAAAAATGTTTACATTCTCGAATTCAGCAGGGTTTTTTTTTTTCGGTTTTTTGTTTTGTTTTGTTTTTGTTTTTGTTTTTCTGGAGGCAGAGTCTCGCTCTGTCACCCAGGCTGGAATGCAGTGGCGCAATCTCGGCCCATTGCAGCAATCTCGGCCCATTGCAGCCTCCACCTCCTGGGCTCAAGGGATCCTCATGCCTCAGCCACGGTGAGTAGCTAGGACTACAGGTGCCAGACACCGCACACGGCTAATTTCTGTATTTTTAGTAGAAACGGGTTTCATCATGTTGGCCAGGCTGGTCTCAAACTCCTGGCCTCAAGTGATCCACCTGCCTCAGCCTCCAAAAAGTGCTGCGATTACACTTGTGAGCCACTGTGCCTGACCAGGCAGTTCTTTTCCTAAGAACTTATACCAAAACTAAAATGAAATAAAATAAAATAAAATCAGATGCATCTACGATTTTTGTACAAGGAAAAATTATATATAACATTATGACATTACTTACGATAATGAAAAACTGGATGGTAGTAAAAAGTGGAACCAACTTGACTATCAGTGTGTTAATCATACTTTTCATTTTCTGTATTTCATGATGTCTTGATTTACTGGAGGCCTTGCTGGCGTGAAGAAACTGCTTCCCAGGACTAGCTAATTTCTAGAGATAATAAACAACTTACCTGACTGTAAACACACCTTTCATACACAAACCATTCAATCCCAAACCCATATCCCCAACCATCTCCCTTACCTAAATCACACACCGAGCCAGTATTTCCCCTGCCCGAAATCAACCCAGGGCCAGTTCCAAACAGCTAAGAACAGACCCTATACCCCAAAGGCTGCCGGAATTAATTACTAGCCAGTCCTAAACTCTCTGCTCTGCTCCACTTTGCTTTTCCCAGAAAACCACAGTAATAGCTATGGCCCATGCTTTTCTCTCGCTCCTGCTCCTGCCTCCTGACCAGCTCTGGTACTTTCGTGCTGTGGCCATGCATGGTGTGCTGGGCCTCTGCTTCTAGGAGAACTGTGAGTAACACAAAACTTCTTTCAGTGGCATTGACCTCCCTATGTCATCACTCAGTCACCATTATGAATTAAAAACCAGGCACAAGCTGGACACCGTGGCTCACACCTGTAATCCCAGCACTTTGGGAGGCCAAGGTGGGCAAATCACTTAAGGCCAGGAGTTCAAGACCAGCCTAGTCAACATGGTGAAACCCCATCTCTACTAAAAATACAAAAATTAGCCTGGCGTGGTGGTGCACGCCTGTGATCCCAGCTACTCAGGAGGCTGAGGCAGGAGAATTGCTTGAACCCAGGAGGCGGAGGTTGCAGTGAGCTGAGATCACGCCACTGCACTCCAGCCAGGGTGAGAGTGAGACCCTTTCTCAAATTTAAAAAAAAAAAAAAGAAAGAAAGAAAGAAACACATATGTTAACATATATATTATCTCTGGAAAAGAAAATAAGAAAAGCAAGAAAGAGATATGTACCAAAATATTAGTTGTGACCTCTGGGTAGGACGATCTACCAGTTATTTTTATTTTGTATGGCATTTCCGATACTTCCCAAGTTTTCCATAATGAACATTTTGTATAGAGAAAAGCACATTATAAGCATCAGGTTAAAGAAAATGTGAGGTCTACAAATTTCAAATATCTTTAGCCATAAATCTAACTCTCCAAAGCATCTGAGATTAACATTTTTGTGTGAGACAGGGTCTCACTGTCATTCATGCTGGAGTGCAGTGGTGAAATCTCAGCTCACTGCAACCTCTACCTCCTGGGTTCAAACGATTCTCATGCCTCAGTCACCTGAGTAGCTGGGATTACAGGCATACGCAACCTCACCCGGCTAATCTTGTGTATTTTTAGTAGAGATAGGGTTTCACCATGTTAGCCAGGCTTCAGATTAACTCTAAACCAAGAGCTGTGTCATTATTCTCAATAAAAAACAATTATATTCAACATTCAAATTGCCAAACACTAGCTCTGAAAGTCTACAGATCATTAAGAGAGAATCAAAAATAAAAATACTTCTCAGTAAATCACAACAAATGTCCCTTTCCTGTTTCCCTGCTTTTCAGACATTCCTGGATAGATTACTGCATGATGAAAACACTATGTAATCGTTGGCTGTACCCAAAACTTGAGACATTCTCTTGGGAGTCTAAATATTTTTTAAATGCACAGCAGAATTAGACCAAGTGGTTCCCAGTCTACGTCCCAGAACAAAGAATGAACAAAACAACTACAATCTACAGCACTTTTCAGTGTCTAGGAAAATTTTTTTAAAGTTTTTCTTAAACCTCAAACAATCCATAAGCATGGGCATATAAACCACCAGGAGGTAGATTACGTATGGCTCAAAGTAAATCTGCAGAGTAAACAGAAGCAGGATACCCCTGAAAGGAAAGACAAGATCCGTATCCAATTTAACTGTGATTCATTCACCAGATCAGGAAAGCAGGTGAGGCAGGGAGTGAGTGTGATTCTAAGCCACAGGGACAGGGCAGTGAGCGTGAACAGTAAGTGCACAGGTCTGGCTACAGAGAAGTGGAGAGCAGTGAGTGAGGCCGGAAGGGCCATTCAACTGTGAACGCCCTTGTATGCCACGCTAGGGATCTTGGGGGATCTTCGTTTTCGTCCTCAAGGCAATAAGAGAAGCATTTCCTTCACTGATAACAAGATAACCAGCACGAGCTTTGAAAGATGAGCAGGATTTCAACACTCAGAAAGGCAATGGGAGGAAAGTACTCCAAATGAAGGCAGCAACAGACCAGGTGGGAGTACAGCCCAAGATGACGACCAACATGGCTAAAATGTAATCCAGATGATGAAGGGCCTTACCTGTGCGAGTGAAGAATGTGTACTTAATTATATAGGTAACGGGAGTCAATGGCAGTTATTGAGTAGGGGAGTGGCCTGACTGCAGCTGCACTTAAGAAAATAAATTTGACAGTAATGCTGAGGGTGCGATGGAATGGGACAGGTTGAGACAGGAAACCCAATGAGAAGGCTCTTGCCCCACTGCGGGTGAGAGGTGCCAAGGCCACAGAACACCTAACACTTCCAGGTCCCTCTACTCTACTCATTCCTAGTACCTGAAACGTTTCACCCTGTGTTGTTGCAATCTGCCAAACCTCACCCACTGCCGTCAGGGATGAAAACCTAATACTGGTTAATACTCATATATATGCTATAGGG